TGGTGTTTGTAAACTATATTTATGAGGCAGGCGTTGTTGCATTCTAGTTCTTCCAATTCTCAGGAAAATTTCTCCTGTTTGGTTTAGTTTCTTTTCTTATCTAAGGCCTGAGTATTCAGACTTGCAGTTCTTGAAGAGCCCATTCAATGTTTATGATTAATGTGTTTTTATTACATCTGGAGGTTTCCCCTTTCCAGCATAATTAATTGGAAAGGATTTCCATAATCCCCTTCCTCAAATATGCTAGTTGAGTTTAATTCTCAAGTTTTCAAGAACTATTAAAATTTCAGAGACCATTTTAGCTGACATACTGTGTGGGATTATTCAATTAACTACACTCCCCATCTTCGTGGACACGGCAGTTAGGTGCTGGATCGCAGCAAGTACTCCAGTTTTGCAGCAAGTCAATTGCTTGGTATGGAGCCTGGTTGTGGCATTTTCTGTTTCAGTTCCATTTCCAGCCAATCAGATAATATCTTAGTTGCATGTACATTACTCTGATACTAGGATGTGATGTTAGGCTTTGGTACCATTTATAGGATGAAATCTTTTGGAGATACAGAAAGTGTGAATATGATTTTTTTGAATACATCGTGTATGTATATGAAATATATTGGTAGTTAAGGCCCTCATCCACTTTTGAAGATAAATTTGAAACATGGTTATGTTTTCATAACTAAACTTGAAATTTTGTTTTTTTGGAAAAAATGGTTAAATTTCTATTCTAGAAAAAATATTTAGAAAACTTGGTAGGAAAGGCCCTCGTCCACTTTTGAACAGTTACACAACCAAATCTGGGTCTTCTGTCGTTGGTCTTTGACATTCAGATCAACTGTATCTAACACACAATGGTGTGTTTTGTATATGTCTGCATGATGACTGTTTTTGAGATGTCGTTAGCCCCCATCTAGTTAGTAATCCCCTAACGGATTACACACAGGTCCCAATCAAAACAGCCAGCAGGCTCTATTTATTGCTTTTTGCAGTCAACTTATTATAATGCCTAATGGTATATGCACGTGCAGTCTTGAGAGCACCGTGCTACCTGCTGCTGATTTGACCCATAGAAATTATGCTACAGCCATCATTTGGTTTCATTTCTTTCATTTGATTCATCTGCAATGTTATATGGTTTACTTCTTTGTTGGACCTACTATTTTTTCTATTTGCTTCAATTTACTTCTAGATAGTTTTCTACTTATCAATGTTAAGCGAGTTTAAGAACCTTTTACTGCAATCAGATGATAATTTGTTGTGTCTTTAAAATCCTCAGATCCATGGGAAATGATGAAGCTGTGGCTCCTTCCAAGGCTGTCAAGGCATCATCACCTGTGCAGGTGAAAATCTGAAGTTTCTCTTTTTCATTTATTCAAAATTTAGAAACTTACACTTCAATTCAACTCAAGCACAGATTTATGCTTGCTAGAATTTCAGTGTACCAATGCCAACTTGTGTGCTGTATTTATGGATGGAACTCATTTGCCATCAATATTTCTTTTCGAAATTAACAAAATAACTAGGACTATTAGCGGAATTCATTTGTAACATTCGTTCATGCAACTTGATTCTTTCTTTTCTGTTGGCAGGAGCAACCAGTTGTTCATCCATATCCTGATTGGGCAGCCATGCAGGTCAAGTACTGGATATGCTTATTATCATTGGTTATATTGTCTGTTCCATAAAAAATAATTGGATTTGTTTGGTTGGAATAATATGGCAAAAGAAAGTTGAACCCTTAATGTAAAGTGACTACTACTGATGACGGGTGTGACATGTTATCTAGCCACGTTTTACTCCATAAATCCTACTTATAAAATGACTAGTTCATCACGATGTGTAACTGAATATGTTGTTTTTCTTCTTATGATCAGGCGTACTATGGCCCAGGAGTTCCCATGCCACCACCTTATTTTAACGGTACAGTTGCAACTGGTCATCCACCTCATCCATACATGTGGGGTCCACAGGTACTGCTATCTCTGTTTTTGGTCAGCTGTGCCATGTGACCTAAAATCTTATGCCTGATCTTAAGGAACTAGTTTGGTCAATATGTAATACATCATGATTCACGACCAAGCAACATTGGAAGTTGAGCAAAATTAATATCTAGTGGGTGTTCAGATGTTTTTAGTAAACAAATCTGTTTTATTTTAACAAACAAATGCATGATTGTGGTATGCACCACCAACGGGTGGGACGAATAAATGATTTCTAGATTAATGCTCATGGAATCGTGCTGGTAAACAATTGTCTATTGTTATATATTAATACATCTTGATAGCTTATAGCTAACTTTTTATTTGTTCAAGCTGATATGCATGTATACTATAAGGAGAATGCTGCACATTGAGCTGCTAAAGGGCATGGCTGAATATATCCAAGGGAAACAACCTGAACAACAAGCCAAACTCCAGAGTTTCCTGTATTATTGTTGTTTCGCTTTAAGTTTAGGACAATGAGTGTTGGGATATCCATGTGTGGGGCTCCACATTTGAGAACATTAAAAAGTAATGATTTTAAATATAAAATTGGTTCGAAGACCTTAAGCTTTCAGGTCAAATTGATCCTCAACAATAATGCCCTTTTTCTTTCTTTCAAATGTGCCGTATTTCTTCTTAATTGTGGTAGGGAAGACCAGTGTGTGGCCTGAGAGGAACAAAATCCATTGTGAAACCAGATGTTAGGAGTTATTGAAGTCAAGTTCTCACAAATGGTAAAAATCTATCGATGTTAGGAGTGATTGAAGTCAAGTTCTCACAAATGGTAAAAATCTGTTGATGGAACTTACTTCGAGTTGGGGCTCAATCAGGTTTAACTATGAATGATAGATGATGTTGAAAGATATACCTTTATGATTAATGTATACTCAAATCTGAAGAGGGTGATCCTTGGGATTTTATGTGCACGTATAATCCAATGTGAGTGATAGTAGAATGACTGATCAGTTTAAATAAAATGACCAAGACCTGGTGATAAACTTTTGTATCAGATGTATTCCCAACCTATTATAGGAGCCATTTTACCCCAGCATTAAGTAAACCTGATATTAGGTACATAGATTGCTGCATGAGATGGCCTTTACCAAGTGGTGCAAGAAGCTACAACATGTTTTGCAAGCTAAGCCAATATAAATTGATCCGGCCATAACTGGAAATCGGAGAGAAGCTCAATTTATTACATAGATTCAATTTCCTTGCAAATACTACAGATATAGGAAAATAAAAATAAAAAATCCATTAGAATAATAAAAAAATAGTGATTTTAGTGGATTTTCTTTGATAAAGGCCTGCTAGCTACAATAACTTGGCAAGCTAGATCAGGTTGTGGTTCTGTTGGCTGCCCTTGGATCTTATCACATGTTAATCTTGGTAGAAGTATATGGAGGAAACACTTCTGCGTTAGCATTTAAAGACCATTCTTCAAAGATCACATGTTGGTTAGTCTATGCAATCAACCTGGTGAAGGGACTTAGCTACAATGTATACAATTACTGTATAATATTTAGTCCTGCGCTACCAATCACGAGAGTGTTATAGACGGTGGAATTATTAAAAATTATGCATTGCTGACTGTGTATATAGTATGAGAAATGAACAAGGCAAAGAAGGATACATGTTATTAGAGCCTGTTTTTACAGGTCTTGCATTCGCATAGTTTGTACTGAAGATTCTTTGATGATTTTTTTCTGTTTCCTTTTTGTTGACGTAAACGTTAAGCATAAGTAGTGCTAGCTAATGTGACTTTCTCACTTTTTTATTGTGGTCCCAGCCTTTGATGCCCCCTTATGCGACACCATATGCTGCAATGTATCCCCATGGACTTTACTCTCATCCTTCGGCAGGCTTAGTAAGTTGGAAGATCAGACTACCTCTATCTCTTTATGTATCTTTTTCCTAGCTTGGAAGTTTGCAAATATTCGCTACCTTTTAAAACTTAGATGCATTTAGGACACCTATGGTTGAAACAAATAATAAGAGATGTATGTAAGTTTTGCATATGTAAGAAAGTGTTCTTGTTTGAAAAGCAACTTATATCTTCCTACATGGATGGTGGAGTAGGGGGACTTGTGGGACTAATACTGTTTCCAAGTATGCCATCGCATTGTACTACTAATGCTAAAAATGCTCTTTGATGGGCTTTTATGCCTATTTATTGCTTTTGTGCAGATGGTATCTCCTTCAAGCACAGATGTGCCTTCTAAGTCATCAAATAACAAAGACGTAGGATTAATGAAAAAGCTCAAGGGGTTTGATGGTCTTGCTGTGTCAATTGGTAATGTCAGTGCTGAGATTGCAGCTGGTGATGGGAGTGGGCAGTCACAAAGGTTTGTTTGCCTTTGAACCTTCATTTCCTGATATAAAGTACTCAAAAGTAACCAAAGTTCAAGTTCCTTCAGAAAACGAAGCTATATAAATAGGTGTAATAATTTTAAATCTATTGGTGCAGTGGAGATAATGGACCTGAAGGCTCAAGTGATGCTAGTGATGAAAATAATGAATCAGGAGTATGCCCATGGACTTACTCATTTTTAACCATTTAATATCTGATGATGATGCTATATAAAAATCGTATGCTTAAGTTTCCTTTCTGTTTTAGGGGAAGGAAAACCGAAAGAAGAGGAGCTCTGATGGTACACCTACCTCAGGTACCACCAATTCTTTGCTATGTACTGTGTACCCTTTAATTCAATGTTATCCAGTCAGTCCTTTGTGCAAGACTGGATTATAAGCTTCTTTCTTCACTTTGTCACGGAGTATCCAGTTGCTAAGATGTTGATGAAACATCTGGCTAAAATTACTATTATCTACCATCCTCGGCAATGGAGTTCTATCTAATGGGTTATCCTGGATCCTTGCAGGTGATAAGAAAGTTTGTGCTTTGGCCAATACTATTCATAGTGTTGCAGCTCCAGAGATGGCTGTAGGAGTTGTTATGTCTCCTTCTCCTATCACATGCAAGCCAATGTGCACTCTGCCTGCATTAAGTCAAGCGCCGGGGATGGAGCTCAAGGCTTCTGCTACCAGTCAACTGAAAGCTGGAGTGAACCCTGAACAATGGACTCAGGCATGTGCATTCTGTTTATGTCGCCTTTTAACATTTGCCTTCAATTATTTTAGTTGACCCCAACTTTTCTTTGGTAATTATCCAAATGTGGTGTTGGGTTTTGTTGTTAATTTGTTTTGATGGCATGTTACTCCTTTATCTATCTGAAGTAGAATAATCCTTTTGGGCTTCCAGGATGAGAGGGAGTTGAAGAGAGAAAGGAGGAAACAGTCCAACAGAGAATCAGCTCGAAGGTCAAGATTGAGGAAACAGGTGCAACACATTTCTGTTAACGGGATATTCATGAATAATCAGGCTGAAACTGAGGAATTGGCAACAAAAGTTGAATCTCTGGGCGCTGAAAACGTTTCTCTGAGATCTGAAATTAGCCAGCTTAAAGAGAATTCAGAGAAACTGAGAGCAGAAAATTCCTCATTAATGGTACCTTTCAATGTCTGCCTGCTCTGGGAATTATTTATGCCACCTGCAATTAGGTTGTTTTGATTTAACCTGCAGAATTAGCCTCTTATCGCGCATTAGGAGGTGTAACTAGAGACCCAGAAATATCAGTTATTTTACAAAGCACAATTCATGAAGTCCCCAAAAATAGACGTTTGACATTCAAATCAATCAGAAAAATATGTTGATGCGGAAGAGGTTGACCAAACTTGTGACATGTTGTTTACAGGAGAAATTGAAGAATGTGCAAGACGTTTCTTCAGATGAACTGGAAAATCAAGAAACTCCTACAATTGTAGTTGAAAACTTCTTGTCTAGAATAGACGAGTTAAGGCAAGACGAGAACCATGAGAACTCGAATGGTGGCAAGCTACACCAGCTTATGGACTCCAACCCTAGAACTGATGCTGTAGCTGCAGGATGACACTTGAATACTGATGTTTCCACTAATACGCAGTTTTGGGTTGTTTTTTATCTTCCCAAAACTACTAATATTTTATCAGGTCTTGAAGTGGTATACAATGAGTTGGCATTCTAAAAGACTGATTACCAAGGAAGTCTAATGGTTTTACTGTATCTTTGATTTTGGGGTGTTTATTATCCTAACTGTGTGATCCATCCATGGAGTTCAAGGTTTTATTATAACCCATGTTGTTTGAGATTGCAGGAATTAGAAAAGTTATGTATATTGAAGTTTGTTAATTTCCAGGGTGTTGTATTATTACATAAAAATAATTTATATAAACTTTACAAAGTTCTGAAGTTTTCTATCTTTGTTTTGTCCTTTTAAATCGAGATATCGGAGATTTCATTGCTTTACTTTGCCTAGTGGAGATTGATGCGCCAAAATCTTTTCTAAGATTTCACTCGTTTGGGAGGACGGTTTACGTTTTTGCTGGCCTCAGAACAGGAGGTGTTGTAGATGTCATCCTCATTCTGAGAATTTTAGAAAACCTTTCTCAACGATAGGGGGTTACAGATTTAGGGGTGTTTAGATAATAGTCCCTCACATCTTCAATAATCGCACATTAGTCCCTCGTGTGTAAGAAATTGCACATTAGTCCCTCAAATTCTAGGGTTATTTACACCTTTTATAACTTGTTCTGAATTTTTTTGATACTATGTTACCCCAAGGTTTGCACCTTCTTTGATTTTGATACCCTCAAACTTTTTTGACACCCAAAGTTTATACATTTCTAACTTTTATACCCCAAAGATTCTACATCTTTTTAACTTTCATACCTCAAAGTTTACACTTTTTTTTACTGTGATGCCCTTAAGTTGGAGGTATCAAAGTGTCAAAAATAAAATTTTGGGGTATCAAAATTAAATAGGTATAAGCTTTGTCATAACAAAAGCATCCGAAAGAACCCCTAAGGTATCAAAGTGAAAAAATATATAAATTTTAGGGTGTCAAAACGTCAGAAAATTTTGGATATTAAAGTTAAAAAGAAGTTAAGAGTACCAAAGTTCAAATATCCTTTTTTTGAACAAGATGGATTTTAAGAGAGAAATCATAACTAAGAGGTATTTAGGTCATTGAGGGACCAAACTGTAAGACCTCTTAGGATTTGAGAGACTAATGAACAATTATTAAGATTTGAGAGACTAATATGGAATTAGTGAAGATTTGAGGGACTAATTTCTAAATATCCCTATGGTTTTATATTCTAGCACACCCTTGCAAGTTGAATGCCCTTTTCTATGACCGGAGACCTAGACTCACGTAGTGGTAACAAATTTATGAATCCGCATTAAATTCGTGGCGCACGATATTCGAACCTGGGTTGACTTTGAGCTTAAAGTCCCTCTGAATATTACATAAAAATTTTAGGTGTATTCATTGGGTCATTTAAGATGGTATCAGAGCAATCCAGGTTCAAATTCCACCGGTAACGAATTTAAAGTGATTTTTTGAAAAATCAAAAAAATTGATATCAATGTATGAGTCTAGATTGGCCCATAAAAAGGATGCTCAACTTGCGAATGCATATTAGAATATAAAAATATAACCCTTAATTCTCACTATAAGATTTTTCTAGCAAAATGGTCTAAATATCATTTTGGAAAAAGTTTGTTTTAGTCCCCTGCGCCCCCACCCCACCCACCCCCCATCCAAAAGAAAAAAAAAAGGAAAAAAAAAAGAAAAAAGATATTGCTTTTTTTTAGTTTTGAGTTAAATCTTGGTTGTTTCAAGTCCCATGTTTGTTACACAGCAAGTCCAAGTTAACTATGTTGATCCGGAGTGTTAAGTGAGATAAGTTTAAGGGGCTTTTCTCAAATTTTTAAACTTGAAAGAGGTTTTCTACAAAACCTTCAACCTTGAGAGAGTTTCCTCAAATAAAAATAGTTCAAGGAGGATTTTCGGAGACACTGTCCACAATAGAGCAAGCTTTTATTACGGTTTTTTTATATTAGTCCCCCAAATCATTCATATAATCCCCCAAATCATTCGTATAATCCTCTACATCATCATAGGTGTTTTGAAATTCGTCCCCACTTCTTTCAATACGGTGTTAACTAAAGAGGAACTAATTTCAAAACACTTATATAAAACATGTGGGACAAATTTCAAAATACTTAACGATTTAGGGACCTAATTTCAAAATAGGAAGATGTGGGGTCTAATACTAAAATATGAATGATTGGGGGACTAATATTGAAAAAACACCTTTTTTGGAGGTAACAGAAGATGTATGCATATTTAAAAAGAAAAGCAGAACTTATTTACAACTAAAAGCCTGCTGACGCTATTAATTTTAAGTTCAAAAAGCAACCTTTGAACAGGTGCGAGATCATAAAGGGCAGTCCTTTTCCCGGGCCGGGCTCTCCAAATTCTTTGCTATTCGAGGAGAATCGGAACGTGCATATATAATACTTTGCCCTTTATAAAGCTTTGAGGTTTGCTTATGACGCTGAATCTCGGAGGGTGATTGTGTTTGTGGGTGGGCCGGTGGGGGATGCAGCCCGAGTGACGGCTGACGTCGAAGAAAATTCAGAAAACTCATCTCCTTTTTTTGAGCTATATTATAGTCGATGCGAAGAGACAATGTGATATGTTTGAGCGGTGTGATTTTGATATAGCGCGTCAAATTGGAAATACAGTAGCTGACAAGCTTACTCGGAGGGCGGAGGTGTTGTGTTTTCAGAGACTCAAATATGAGTTAAAAGGTTCTCTTGATTTTATCGTTAGGACTGTTTGGTTCATTTATTAGAAACCTAAGTTTCGTAGATTACTCATGAGAAATAGGTTATAAAACTCATTTTCATGTTTTCAAGCACATTTCATAACTTTTTGGGAAGAAATGAGTTTCCTTACATTTGGGACTCATGACACTATTATCTTACTAGTGGGTGGGTTTCACATGCACGGCATTTTTTTCCTCTCTCAACCATGTGGAGGAGAACTTGGAAAAAGCAGTTTTTTGGTCATAAGTCGACTCATGCACAGGCATAAGTCGACTTATGGTAAGTCGACTTATGTTTGTGTCGTAAGTCGACTTACGATCTGCTCTGGATTGTTGTAAGTCGACTTATGTTTGTGTCGTAAGTCGACTTACGATCTGCTCTGGATTGTTGATTTTGGGCTCTGACAAGTCGACTTATCAAGTCTGATAAGTCGACTTATGATCTCCTCTCCAGTTGTCGTTTTTCGCTCTGCCAAGCCGACTTATGCAGACTGATAAGTCGACTTACGACGGGTTTTTTGGAAAGTTCAGGTTCCTATTTGCAGTCTGTTTGGGTTTCTGTTTGGTATAAATACCAATACGATTTGAGGGTTTTGAAGGAGCGTTTTGGGGGATTTTGAGCACAAAAAGAGAGATCTTTCTGAGCTATTTGTTAGGGTTATTGGTTGAGAGGTTGAGAGATTTGTTGGTGAGATTAGTTAGTTCGTTTGAGCGATTTGTAATCTCAATTTGTACTCTCATTCTCTATTAGTGGAAACCCTCCCCCTTCTTGCCCCGTGGACGTAGGCAATTGCCGAACCACGTTAAAATTGGTATTTGGTTTGTGCATTGATATTTGGTTGTTTTTGGCCTTCTTGGATCGGCGTTTGTTTTGGTTCCTCGGCGCCGCCGTCAGCACAACAAACCAAACACAAGAAAATAAAATCAAACACATTCACATGAGTGTTTCGGGTGTTTTGATTTCATATTCTTAGTTTCTCAGCCAACCAAACAGCCCCTTAGCGTCTTACAGTTTGATTCGGAGCATATGTATGTTAATGTAGTTATAAAAAAAAACAAGGTTCAACATATAATATACATTCGATCTGATTTGGATAGGAACTGAATCTTAAATGATCCTTAATCCTGACTAGTGTGCATGACCGGATTAGACTTCATATCAGAACCGCCCGCATACAACAGGCGGTTCTGAGTCACAAATAAGGATGCAGCTACCAAACTGCATCCTTTTTTTAGGGAAAAGTTACGCTCGCATGCGATCAACTCTAATAGAATTGGCACTGGCGTGACCGAGCATAGATTGATAAACACATTTCCTATAATAGGGGCTGTTTGGTTGGTTAAAAAAAGAAAATGTATTGTGAGAAACCTATTTCCTATAATAGGCTCTTTTCTTTTCTTTGGTTCACCTACTAAAAGTAAGAAAAGATATTGTTGGATTTAAATCTAATTAAATCTATTTGTGGGCACATATAATTAATCTGTGTGTATTGCTATCCTTCAGGATAACCCGCTAAAGTGATCAATCAATTTGGGTTAATGAATACTTAAATATAATCATGGGGTTATATGTGCAGATACCAGATTGTAATTGTGATTTGATGAGGGGCCAAATTATAAATGTACAACATCTATAAATAAGGGGTTATGGTCCATAATCTAGGGTTACATTCTCTAATTCTCTTCACCCCCATCTAGAGAGAAATTTGGCTAGAGAAACCCTAAGGTTAGAAGATCCAAAACCCATCTCAAGTTTAATCTATGGATTCAGGTATAAGCTTCCGCTCTTTTCTTTTGATTCTTGTAAATCTCTTTGAATTAATCATGGCTTTATGGTTTAAATCTCAAGTTTTTATAAGATCTAACAAGTGGTATCAGAGCCACATGTGATTAATTCTTAGGGGTTTAAGTTCTTAAAAAATTAGGTTTTTTGATCTTAAAATCTCTGGTTTTGATTAAGAATTGTTCTCGGATGAACAATAACATTTTTTATTTTTCAGATGAACAGTAAAAAATTCGCTGTGAACAGTAACGTTTGGAATTTTTTGCCTATTTTTCTTCGATTTTTTCTTGGATCTGGATCATGAAATTTTTTTTTTCGATTCTGGATATGTTTTTGAAATAAAATAGAGAAATTTTGGATCTATTTGGTTTTTTGGTCATCGGCCCCGTGCTCCTCACCGGCGCAGTGTCGCTGGCGGCCTCGCTCTCAACTCCGACGGCGACGGTGGTGTCAGGAAACCCTAGGGTTTCGACCTTTGGGTGCAGGAGCAATGGCGACGACGGTTTCAGATTGAAACCCTAAGGGTTCGTGCGTGAAAACGTGGCGAAAATTAAGGAAGTGGTTACATCAGATTTTGGCGAGGCTTGAAAGCTTCAAACGAACTTCGTGTTCGTTCTCAAGTGAGCCACGCGCTCAATTTAACCGAACTTCGCGTTCGTTCTCAAGTGAGCATCGCGTTCAAATCAAACGAACCTCGTGTTAGTTCTAAGGTGAGCCTCGCGCTCAGTTCTAAGGTGAGTCCCGCGCTCAGTTCTCAGGTGAGCCTCACGCTCAATTTAAGTTGAACC